TACTCTCTTGCGCTCAGACACGCAATAAATAATGTTTAATACTTCACAATTTTGCTGTAACAAATCGTTTGTTGCTGCTGAAGCAGCTGCTGCCTTTGTCAGGGCATAAAAGAGTCAACAGAAAGCAATGAAATATGTCGGCGAATATAATTGTTAAAATCAATATTCGGCATTGCAGCATTAACTACGCAGTAATTTGCTAGGGAAGTTTAACTTTTGGCACACTGACTCACACACACACACAGAGTCAGAAGTTGTGCAACTGGCAAATTGACTAGCAAAATTTGCTGGCGCACAGAAGTATGCTATGATTTTTTTGCAGTCACTGTTATGTGTGTGTGTGGGTGTGAATACCATTTGCCTGCTTGAATGTGTGTTAGTTATGTTTGTGTATATGTGTGTGTGGCAAATCTAATTGGATTTGTGCACGTTCAATGAACTGAAGTATTTTATATTGTTATTGCACTTGAGCAATGCCAGAAACGGACCAAGAAACGTCTCTCAATGAGTGTTAAACCTCACAGGCTTTCCGAATAGGGTATATTGATTGTCTTGCACATTTATCAACTAGGCAGATGAGATCTAAGATCTCATGACAAGTCAAGTCTCTTTGCGTGTTTGTCAGCTTTAAGAAATCGGTCATAGAGACTAGACTCTGAGCTAGACTCTTTAAATTTGGGAAATAAGGATATATAAGTATAGTTGTTATAAATTGTCGAGACTCGTTTTTTGAGTACATCTCGCATATTATTTAAACTTACGAAAGCAACATAGGAATAGGTCAAAAATATGTATTTATTTTCGCGCGTACGCCGCTACATCCGAAAAATTCGAGGGGCAACAGCTTGATGTGTGCCTGTAATGTATGAGTTTAACAGGCTACAGGGTATCTGCTAGTCGAGTTCTGTTACTTCTTTTGCTGTTGCTCGACAGTTTATTGCTTTCGCTACAGTTGATTCACACAATTCTAAGGCTATGCAATGAGCAACAACAACAACAGAGAAGTGAGGCTGCATTAAGCTTGTCCCCACCCCGTTCTCCGCGCTTCTAAGACACCCTCCCCCGTGGCAACATTCGTAGGCGACACGCCTGCAATTAGGTGCAAAAACACGTACCAAAACGTTGTGGCTGTTGTTGTTGCTACTGCTTATGGCTCCGGCTTCTACTTGTATCCGGTTATGATAGAAAACGTCTGTCTATGGGCAGGACCTCGAGCTGGACTCATCTCCGGCATGTTTTTGGTCTGCAAATGGGCCCATAGGCAGAACTTAATGAGACGGAAAGCGGGCGCCAATCGCTGCAATTAAAATTAATTACAGTATTTGTCAGCTTTGTGGCTAACTGGCCACCAAATGCGGCAACAGCCGTTGCACTCGGCTCATTCACAGCGAGCAGCAGAGTGGGGCAGGGGCAGGGGCAGGGGCAGGCGCTGCCGTTCAGGGGCGTGGCTGGGCGCAAGATGCGTTGCATTGATTGCAATCGCGATCGTTAATTAAATGTCGAAAGGAATGTTGTTGTTGCTGTTGTTGTTTGTTGCTGTTGTTGCTGCTGTTATTGTTGCTGCTGCTGCCGCGTAAAGATCAGCCAGCTGGGATAAGAGGCAAGTTGCTGTTGCCGCTGCTATTTATAGCCGCTGTGCCGCGCTGCGGCACGCAACGCAACGCGATGCCTCGCTGCAATGCGCCGCGCTCTTTATTATCGCCCTTGATCTTGGCTAAATCGAAATCGCCTGCATTGCGTGAAGTGTTGCAAATGAGTTTTTGTCCGGGGCGTGCATTGAATTTTCAATTGGCCAGCAAATTGGCAGCACCAAATCAGGTAGAAGCGACCGCAGCTGGCCAAAAAGCCGTATGCATAGGCTTTAATTCAAAAAAGATAAAGTAATATAACGAACTTGTGCTTCGATATGTTATCGATTGCATTAACCATTCTATACTTTACTAAAACGTAGCCAGATATTATGGATAGTCTAGCGATTTGGCAGAGCTTATGACTAGCTGCAAATTTTACATTGTGTTATGGCCAGAATGTGTCGATATGTTATCGATAACTGTAAATAATAAAGTTTCTATATTATCGATAAGTACTAATAACAGAGCAGTCAGCTAATGCAACAAAAAGCCAATTAATATCCGTGGTGAACCCAAATTAATCGAAATCTTATCGATATACTTATGCATATCCGCATATTACACCAGAAACCCATCCAAACCCACTGGAAAGTTTTTTATTATTCGGTAGCCTGAATTGATCAATATTTAATCTATATAGTTACGCAAATAATACATTTGGCGCGCAAATCATTATATAGAGGCTAGAATTTATCGACATGTCATCGATATGTGTGCATAACAAAGCAGTCATTCAATAGAGTAGAATGTGTATGTTTAGCAGCGAGCTTTTCTCTGCGTATTTCAAAAAGTAAACATTCCATCAAGCTGCCCCACTCCACTCTAATTGGAAAACCCAAAATGACTTGACCCAAATGAGAGGTTGAGGAAGCTAAACCAAACACTTTGCAATTGTTCCAAAAAAAAAATGAAGAAAAGAAAGACAAATGAAGCCTGGTGAAACTCTTGTCAAGCGAGGTTTCACTTGCCAACTTGCCAACTGGGAAACATCTTCATTTCCACTGGCTTTTCACGGAGACGTTGGCGTCGCAAGTTATTCCTAAACAAAGGGAACACCATTCGCCGATGTCACAGGGAGCACGACAGGGCAGGCTGGTGGGGGGTGAATATGGGTGCAAATGTTTGCAAAATGAATGCACTTGTGCATACGAAACTTCAAGTTTATCAATAGACGGCGGCAAACAGTGCAAAACTCTGAACTCGTTTCGAGCCAAGTTCTGTTTTATTTTTCGATTTTTCACTGCTAGCAGTAGAAAACTTTGTAGCGCAGTTAAAAAAAAAAAAGTTGATTGCAACTCTTTCTGGCTTCGGTGACGGCTGCAGCTCCTGGCCCGGTCTGGCTCGGTCCGATCCGGTCCGGTTGTCTTACTAAAATGAAAATGCAAACAAATGAAAAGTGCAACTGCCGTTAACTGGGTGACCGGGCGATCGGGAAAGCGTCGGAAATTGTTGCCATCCAAATGCAGTTTTGATGGCGGCAAAAATGGTCAATTTGTGGCCAGTTGAGCCAATTGGCAAGTGCTAAAAATCGATTTGAACATTATCTGAAAAGTGCATTTGCCAGAAATGCAGCTGATAAATTGAATGTACGTCGAAAGCTTGGGGATTTCTATTCTTTATTATTATTGAATAAAGATAAATTCGCTTGTCTCGATAACACCTTAGTTTAGAAAACTGGTCACAAGTTCTGATAAGTTGGGTGTCAGTTGTTATAAACAAATGTCAGTTAGCATTAATTATGCTATCATTTAACTTTTTTATTTTATGGTACAGCTGCTCAGTTGTAAAGCAGAGCAAAGTCTATATAATTTACAAAAATTAAAAAGATGGGCTTGTTTTTCCACTAAGAAAACACAATTAACCGTTTAAAACACTTGTAATTTATTCATTTGCAATCATACTGGTTCAATTATATGTTTACCTCTAAGCTATAAAATATAAAAGTTGCCCGCAATTTTGCCCATTTATCACCCTTCACCTCCCCTGTGGCAACCACAACACAACCTCAAATGCAAATGAGCCACGTGCATTCACAACGTCAAGTGCTTCACATGCAACATGTTCGAAACATCCTCAATGCCGGCTATTAACAAATTTTGTTGTGTGTTGCATCAGAGATGAGCAGGCGCAGCCAACATGCTCGAAGCGCTGGCCAAACCTTGACAACAGGTTACAAGCTTATTGCGACAAGTTGGTAGCGCTGTGTTGAAGTATGAAATGAATTTGTCAGTAGTTTCAAAAAGAAAAGAATTACGAATTTAAAGAATATGATTTGTTTTTTAATTATTAAAGAAATTGTTATATCTTTGAAAAAAAAAGCTTTTTAAATTTATCTTGAAACTGTTCTACACTGAAAACATAGCTTGTTGCACTAAACTAAGTACGAACGTTGTCAAAGTACGCCGTAGCCCAAAATTTTCAAATTACAAAAGTACTTAAATTTCTCTATTAACAGATAAGTGAACCAATCCGTCAGTGCTCTTAGAATAAGGTCACATAGGTTTTGAACACATTACTATTGGCATGTCTATGTCTACCTTATCTCTCACTAAATTAGTCACGAAAAGAATGAATACCTTACTTAAACCACAATCAAACAATTTATGCAATTTTCGCGTACCTTTTGAGCTGTGATAAGAAAAGGTAACAAATGACTTTCATGACATTATCACAAAACTCTGGTAAGTTATGAATGATATTGCTATATTGCACGACTTATGACTCAATTACTTCCAGCGATAGTTGTCTTACCTTTGCACACAGCACAAAAAAAGGGTTAGCTTTCAATTAAAATGAAATCAATGAAATTGAATTTTAAAAAATTTTAATAGAATATAATGTAGCCACAATCAATATTAAATAAAATGAAAATCAAGAGAGCTTAGTGTTGTAATTGAATTTAATTCTAAAAAAGATTTAAATTTTGAATACTTTTTGCTATTTTTTACAGTGCACCCTTAAGTATAACCCCAAAGATAAATAGACTTTCAAGCGAAATGTATTTACTAAACCATGCACTTAAAGTAACTAAAGTAGCGATTGGATTCACTTTTGTTATTACATTTCGAGATAGAAAAAAGCATTGGGCCATGCGGGCGCCTTCGTCATGGGACATTTGCGCGGCAAAATGAATGTGGCGACGCGGCCCGCAGAGCGGCGGCCTCTTATCACCGAGTGCTTATCCTAAACTGACCCACTCACTTACACATACATACACACACACACACACAGACACAGACAAATACACCCACATCGAACAAAGTCAGCACGACATGTTGGGGGCTGGCGTTGCCAACCAACGGTTAGCCGGCGCAAGCGAACCGTTTCATCTCACACAAGTTCGAGACGTCGCGCTGCGCTCAGTCAGTCGTATTTTGACCGTTGAAACAGTTGGAAGTGGGGTGCGTGCAGAGCGTAACGTTGCATTTCTATATTTTCTTCACGACATTCTCGCACACAGGTGCAGCTGCTGTGTGTGTGTGTGTGTGCGCGCATACATGTTTAGTGTTTATGTATGTGAGGGCGCGTGAAAATCCCACAATATCAAGAGCAGCAGCAGGCAGCAGGAGAATCACAGTCAGCTGTGTGTTTTGCTTCGTCTTCGTCGGCAAAATGTGTGAAACATAAATGCAAATTAAATATAAGCATAAATTTCAGATTAATAGCCGTGAATATTCCAAGTTGAGTAAATTTTAAAAAGTGTGCAAATAAAAACTACAACGCCTGCTAACAGCGCGCTCGCTCTTTGGCTTAGTGTTGTGTAGTGTGTGTTTTATTTTTACTGGCAATTGTTGTTGTAAGGTCGCCGCGGATTTGGCTGTGTGTTCCTTTTAAGCCCCGCAGTCTACATTTTGACAGCAAAATCAAAGCAGGAGCAGCACAAGCAGAAGCAGCAGCAGCAGAGGAAACGGCAGCGAACTTGAGGGGTAAGTCTGTCGAACTGAGCGTCAAGTGTCTCTGCCACGCGACCAGGAGCTAAGCAACATCAACAAAAATAACAACAAAAGCAACTTAACGAACAGACAGACAGATATGTCGGAGCGCAACGAAACGGTTGGCATAGAACCTCGCAACAGCAGCAGGTGCCGCTGTCTGCCTGCTGTTTGTTGTTGTTGTTGTTGTTGCTGTTGTTGTTATTATTGTTGTGGCTGTTGCCTAGCACTGTACAACAAAATATTTCATTTGTTGTTGTTGTTGTTGTTGTCACTGTCGTTGCGTGTGTGTTCCGCGTGGCTCCGTTAACTCGAGCTGACATTTACAACACTGCCAACGACGCGTCGCCCCCCCTCCTATGCCTTTGGCGTGCTTAGGTTCGCCCATTGTTGTTGCTTTGTCGTCTGCTTTGCTTGTTCTTGTCTTTGCCTACTGCTTCTTTCTTAATATATATATATTTATTTTTTTTTTGGCGTGCATTGACATTGTTTTTGCCTGTTTGTTTTTGGCGCTTTTCTTTGCACTGCTTCGCTTGGCTTTGTTTTTGTTTGCAAATTACTTTTATTGGCCACTTCCTTGACTTTGTTTTTGCGCCGGCAAATAAGAAAAATCAATATATATTTTTATTTGATTTTCATGCCCAGTCAGTCTTTGCCAGCTGTAGCCAACCGCCAACCCCAAGCCCCGATTTTCATTCTTATGTTTTTGGCATTGCTCTGGCCCGTTGCCACCCTTTCAAAATGCAACCCTGTGTCTGCCTCTGCCGCTGCCGCTGCCTCCGTCTCTGCCACGGCCTCTGGCTGTGTCTGGGTCTGGGTCTATTTTGCCGGTTTGTTTGGGTTCGTGTTCTCTACAATTCTCTATTGGCACACGGAACTGGCCTAGAATCGAGCCAAATTTATTAATTATCAAGAGGGACCCGCAAACCGTTAGGTGACACACTTTCGCAAGGGAGCGTATTACTTAAAATAGAGCAAACATATAGATTAAATTCAAGATATTAAATTGATAGACTCTTGTCTTTCGTAATACGCTAATTAGGCTAAATTTTAATGCATCTGCATAATTTAATTGGATTTTTATAGTTTCTGAGTTTCTGAGTTAACATTAACATTATCTTTCTTCTTATCTTGACAAGAGTTTTATGGAATCTCGATGGGTTGTTAAGTTTATGAAACGGTCAATCGGAATTATTTTTGTGCTCTAAATAATATGTTTTAAGGTTCGGCAAAGGGGACGCACCTACTCTATATTCGGTATATGCTGTATCTTAGGTTGTATAATTTTTTGCAGTCTATTTTGAGAATCGTTTAACACATCGATTTTTGGCACCTCTAAATTGAAAGCTTGATTATGTTTATCTAAGTTAAGATGAGTAATATATTATTGATATTGATAAATTGATGATATATAACAGTAAATATCTCCCGAACTCCTTTCAAGTTTTATTTGAAACCCAAAAAGAGCAGCTCTGATCAAGTCCCAAGTTCCCCTATCCTCCCCTTAATAATACTCGCCCTGTTATGCTAACTCCACAAATTGAATTTCTTATTTTTCTTTTTAATAACCCTCACAACGCTACGGTAGCTCTTTTCTTAAAAATAATTTTAATTAATTTTATTATTAATGTTACCATAAATATTTATTTTGCATGCTTCTCTCCTCATTCCCCACTGCTCCGCTTACATTTCCTGTTATTATAATACTTATGAATGCTATTATAAAGTTCTCTGTAAATTAATTCCCTTTTTATCATTTTTTCTGCTCCTTTGCATGTTTAGAACTTGCCTCATTTTTATTCCTGTCGCCCTTCGACTTGTCACTTGTTCTCAAATTTCGCATTTTTTTCCTGCCGACCACCTGCTGAAACCTGTCTTGGCCAATTCATATTTGGCCGCAAGTAAAAGTGGCTACGGCCGGGCCTTATTATGTCTGTCTGTCTGTCTGTCTGTCTGTCTCTCTTCTTGCAACACACACATTACTGCATACTCTTCCATTCATTTTTATTTATTTATTAAAACGTAACATTCGTTTAATTTGAAAACGGGTTTCATTCTCAGCTAGTCAGGGGTCTCGTCGCCCGCCTCTGGGTTCGAGCCGGCTGCCTTCTTTTCTTTTTCTTTTTTTTTTTTAACTCTTTGCACTGCATCATTAAGAAGCAGCATCGGTAATTAAATTTAATTATTAATGTCGGTCGAAAAAGCTAGGCATGGCAGGCGGGCAGCGGGGAATCAGAGCGGGTAAAAGTTAAAGCTGTTGCCATTTATGTTAATTTTAATAAATTAATCACAATGATATTTTGCCTCTTACATCATGGCCTGGTCACTCTGTTGATTTATGTGCTGCTCCCAATGTGGCCAGGTGTGAGAAAAAGAGAAAAGAGAAGCCTAATTGGACGCTAATCTTACATAGTACATTTCGCACGTCCGACACGTTCTCTCCAAATGTGGAACAGCTGCGCAGCTTTATCGAGAGTAAACCCAAAAAAAAAAAAAAATAATGATTGTAATATTCGTAGTGCTAGTCCAATATTCTAGTATTTTAGCTCTTCTACACGTTTCGCAACATGATCGAGAGGAATTTGCATATATTTAGATAGTACTCGCGTTTTGTGGATCTTTTTCTGGGCTGCTGTAATCTAATGTCGTCCCAAAACGCGGAGAGCACGTTTCTGAGTTGTTTGTGTTCTTTATGTAACTGTAGTTGCCACTGGATAACTGTAGCATTTCGAATGGCAGCTGAAAGCGGAAACTGCAACTGACAGTTGGATAAGGGACGCGGCGGGCTGAACACGTAGTGTCCGATTGTGTTGCCCATCCAAGTTGCTTATGCAAGACTTAACCTCAACCTGTGACTAGTTGTGAAAGAACTTTGCGTAACTTGAGAAGAGTCTCTGTTCAGTCGCACAGTTGCCAACATAAGTATGTGAACTAGAAAAGCAGTGTGCACAAGTTTTGTTTTTCGCTAGTTTAAAGTGAGTTGCGAACGTTAATATTTGCTATCGATATGTTATCGATAAATGGTTATATAATACAAATTCGCTTAAGGGATAAGTGTATAAGTGAAAAGTGATGTTTGCAGTTTAAAAATAGATTTCATAATTAATTCCTTTTCGATAAATGTATAACTATTTCTCTTTATTTATTTTCTATCGATAACTCTATCTATACCCTTACGTCTTATTGATCGATAATGTGCTAACTGTATTTTGTGATTCAATTTCCGAAGATAAACATTATGCCAACAGACCAATTTCTACGTCAAATATTTAACTTTCTCGGCCAACTCTCTCAGAGCTGAGAGCCGCATCTTAATTATGGTGTATCTTTATTTAGTTGGCATCTTATTTAAACGGCCCCAAATGACGGCAATTTATGCTTAAATACTCAGCTCTTTTGGCCATAAATTGTTACTGTGTCTGCATTTTAATTATAACTTGGCCAGCAAACGCAGCGTGGCGGTGCACGATTAAAAAAAAAAAAAAAAAAAAAAAAGTAAAAAATGTGTTAGAGGAGCGTACGAAAAATTTAGAGAAGAGGCAGCTAACAAATGACGAACTGGCCGAAACAGCTGAGTTGCAGCCAATGTAACCAAGTGGAAGTCCGCCAGCGGCTGCAGCTAATTGCCTGAAGTCTGAAAGGGGATTATCAGGAGGGAGGAGGCTGTGCAACAGAAGGATCTACAACTGCAATGACAAGACAAATGTTGCTACAACCTGCAGCTACAAGTGAGCAGCAGCAGCAGCAAGAACAGCAACAACAAAGCGCAACATGCAGTTGTTGTTGTTCTTCTTGTTGGCAGGCATAAAAATTCGTAGCTAAACCAATTCGAAAGCAATTTCCTGAGTTTAGAGCCTTGTGTGCAGCGGGTGGGCAGCGGCCAGGCAGGCATTTGCATAACTAGGAGCCTGCGGCGGCACATAGGCCTCCATTTAATGTGTGTTTGTGTGTGTCTATATAGTATACATACAATACAAATGTATATAAACATTTAAACTACATGTGTTTGTTGTGTGCTTGTGAGTGTGTGTGTGTCTGTGTGTGTACCGAAGTTGCTGCTGAGCTGGCTTAGAAGCCCAGTGAAGACGAGTTCATTGAATTCTTTGCTGCTTTATTCGCCAAACTCGTAAATTTTCAACCAAATACACATAAAATTCAAACCAAACTGGTTCCTGCAGCACAACCACAAACAACAACAACTACAACAATAAAAACAACAATAACAACAACAACAAGAGCATTAACAGCGATTTATACGAGACCATAGCCATATAGTCTTTGGGTCTCTTCTTTTTTGTTTTTTGTGTTTTTTTTTTTCGGGGCCTGCATTTTATGGAATGCGGCAGTCATCTTCAGTTTCAGCTGTGCAACTGCAAATGCAACTGAAACCTCATCTTTTGCCTTTTTCTACCCTGTTACAAATCAATATAGGGTATAATAAAGTTGTGCAAGGCTGTATAACCGGCAGCAAGTAGGCAGCTTTGAGTAGATATAATATAACATAATGGTCAGCTTCGAAAGCCAAATCCACCTTTTTGAGGATAAATAATTTCCCAAAAAACCCGAATGCTCGCTTGTTCTTTAAATTTTCTTTTTTTTCTTTAAATATTCACAACGTTCGAAGAAAAAGTCTAGAAGTTATTGAGGAATCAACTTTACAAATTCGTTTAAAAAATAAGGCATATCTAAGCAGCGCGCTACTGCTTACAGGGTAGCTGCTGGTCGTTCACTTTCGTCTCACATTGCGGATGCTTAAAAAAAAAAGTCGGCCAAGTTGGCCAAGTAATATCCATCTGCTCTTCAACATCGCATTTCACTTTGCTCTCCGGCGGATTTGTTGCGGCTACTTCGATTGAGTAGCTGTCCGCATTTGTATCTGCATTTGTCGCCAGACAAGCCTGTGTGTGTATCTGTGTGTAGCTCTTTTGGTGCTTTTGCAGCTCTTCTTAAGTGCAGCTTTTGTGGTGAAAGCGCAACGCATTCGGCTTATGGCCTGTCCATAAACTCGACTCGACTCGAACGACCCACATCCACATCCAGTTTGAGTTTCGAGAACCAGCTGCACCTTATCCGAGATCGTATCAATGCCAAGTGCCGCCGGCACTCTGTGTGTCACAGAGTTGAGAACCGAAAACTAAGTAGCTCAAATATTTGGACAATTTCGTTTACTAATTGGGCCCATCAGCACGAGACTTTAACTGAGCCTAATCACTGTGGGCACACAAAACAAATATGGAAATCCAACAACACACACAACAAACACAGCCACAGACAGCTGCTCAGACACTGAGACGAGGCGAGCGAGGTAGACCCAAACAATGCCAAAAAATATTAAACAAAAGATACGCATTTGTATCTTGTATATCTAGCCGCTGAGCCTGTGTGTATCTGTGGCTGTTGCCACTGGACCAAACTGAACAAAAGACAGCTCAATTGTGGCCAGGGACCAGAGTTGCGCTCCCAATTTTTTTTTGTTATGGCTACCTGCCAAACACAATATATATTTGTGCACAGTAAAAAATATTTGCTTAATTGTAAACAATACCAAAAATGTGCTTTGTCCATTTGCAAAAAAATTGTAAAAAATATATAATATAATAATAATTAGCCAGAACTTAGATTTACTTAAGACAGTCAAAAACTTATTTTTTTTCTGTGCATATAAATTCGTCAGATAGATGTTTGCTCTGTCTAGACATCAATCAAACTGTTGAAGATTTAAAGATACAAGAATTAAGAGTTAGCAGCGGAAATGAAGTTGAGCTTTGACCGCTTCTCGTTAACTGTAATTACGCACGCAGCTAAACGGATATACAGCAATAGCCATAGATATAGATACATTTATATCTCATGACGCACACAAATGCTGGTCAACAGCATCAGCAGCAGCGGCAGCAAATGGCCACAAACAGCCGCATAATGACCTTGTAACTCAACTGTCAACTGTCAACACACGCAGCAAAAACAACAACAACAACAACAACAACAACAACAACAACAACAACGGCCACAGCCACAACTATCAATAGCTAGCCACAATTTATAGTACTCGTATCGTTGGCCATAAATTGGAGCGCCTGGCACATGTCACACAGCCGAAAGGCAGGCCCAAAGACAGCCCCACAAGAATGTTGACCAAATGGGGCAGAGCGTTCGGTCTATAAGCCAAGGATCAACAGCAAACAGAACCCGGCAAACAATATGAAAACTATTTTTGTTGCAAAACCATTTTGACAGCAAATTTTTGCAGCCAGCTACCTTTTGTCGAAATGACACTCGTAATTTACAAATACGCAGGCTTCAATTAAATCCCAAAACGATACCATTTTCAAATTTTCACCAACTTAACTTAGTAAAGACTACTTATAAGTTGCTCTAAATTATTTAATTAAACTTTTTCGTTATTTTATCTTTAACCTAAATATTTTAAGTCTGAAAGATAGCTTATCCGTGCCTGGTACAGCATTTTAATCAGGCTTCATTATCTTTTCTCTCCAGGGTCAACTTTTAGTTGAAACTCTTAACAGTATCCTCCAAGCTCATGAAAACTTTGGGGGTTCTGCTAGCATTAACCTTCTTTTAACAGTCCAATATTCGAATCATAAATCTATTGTCAGTTGTTTTTACTTTTCTTATACATTATTCAATTATTCTCCATGGTCATGGTCCTTTCTCAGTCTCTGTTCCTTGAGGATCATCCATTGTCACTTATTTGGTAACTCCTATCCCACATCTTTGCTCAGTCGCTGTTGACTCTTTTTTATCAACTGTCGCTTGTTTTAAGGAATTCAGTTTTTTCACCTCTTCTCTATGGTCATTTTTCAAATAAACTCCCACTCCGACTTCCTCTCATGCTCTCATCTTTTCCGAGTTGACTCTCATTCAGTTCCTTCACGTATCCTTCTTGGTCACTTTAATTAATACTCCCTTATGCTCATAGTCGCTTTTCCTTCAGCTCTTTTATGTAACCTCCTTGGTCACTTTAATTAAAGCTCCCGTTGCTTAGTTCTCGGCTCCATAGCTCACTCGCTAATGTGATTAATTGAAGCAACCTTCACATCTTATCTCTCTTGTCACTTCATTTTGCTCACGTGTCCTCCATTGTCACATTAATGTGCCTTTACCAGTGCGTTGCGTGGAAATTTACGAGTACCTCGCATTTCCACTTGTTGCGATTGCCATCGGGGGCAGCGTCTGCTGCATGTGGCAGCCCCTTTTCCGTGATGTGCCTTGGGTCAGTTTTGAGTGGTTGGCGGTTGGTGGTTGCTGGTTGGTGAGCTCGGTGAGGTTCGAGTGGTTCGGGGAGTGTGGCAGCAGCATGTGCCGCATAAAAAACGCTTATCGCGCTGAATATTTTGTTGTATTGTTTACGCGGCGGGGGCTCATAAAATATGAGCAGCAACAGCAACAACAACAAAACAACTCGGCAAATACAAATAGTTGGCGCGATATCTGACGGATACACACACGTAGCCAGCGCGATGGAGCGACTTCCTCGTTGTTCTTTTATTTCTTGTGTTGCCTTCTTTTATTTTTTGGGATAAGTTTAAGTACACAATGGGGCGGTAACAGAAATAAGAAGAATCTTAACAAGTAATGAATTACGCGAGGAGGAGCATGCCCCAAAAAAAAATATATATATATGGTGGCGTGGAGATGTCTTGTGCATATACACTGTACAAAATGTTTGGTTTGCATTTAGAAATCAATTTATTGTTTTCAAAAAACAATTTTCTCAACTCGTTTAAATTAAAAGATTTTTGTTGGAATACAAAATGAAATGTGAACTGCCCCAGCTGGGATTTTAAGAGAGAAGATATAACAGATAGAATAAGGAAAATAGAGAAACCAGTAGAGAGAATATGGATGAGAGAGAAGCGAGAGAAAAAAATATATAAAATAGGAATAATAGAAGAACAGAGAAGTTAGAAAAGAGAAGCGAGTGAGTGAGAGGAAGAGAGACCGAGAGAGGGAGAGAGAGAGAGAGAGAGAAAGAAATGGAGAGAATGATAAGAATGAGAATAGAGAAAGAATAGAGAAAAAGATTAGAAAAAATACAGAAAGTAGAGAATACCTAAAAAATTAAAGAAAGAGGAAATTGAGAAAAATAAAGAGAGAGAGAGAGAGAGAGAGAGAGAGAGAGAGCGAGAGAGAGAGAGAGAGCAATAATGGGAGAATTTAATGTCAAATTTATTTTCACATTTTCAAAGCAAAAATACCTTTTAATTAAAGTAATAAAACCCTGAATATAATTTAAGAACCAAAATTGTTAAAGCAACAAATGCAAATGTTAAAGCCGAAAGAAATGAAATTTAAAACAAAATTTCGTGCTGTGTAGAAGAGGAAAAGTTTTCGTATTGTATGCGAATTAGTTTGTTGTTATCAGGAAGAAGCGAGAGGAAGCTGAAACAGAGAGAAGAAAGCATAATTCTAAGGCAAGTTTTGACAAAAGGTCGCCGTTCCTGTTTCTGTTGTTGTTTGTTTGCATTGTTGTTGGTTGTTGGCACTGTTCTTATTGTTGTTGCTGGCTGTTGTTGTTGGTTGTTGGCTGTTGGTTGTTAATGTGCATTTTTTCCGATAGCTGTAGCAGCAGCTTGCAGCGTTTAAAACACACACATTTCGCAATAATTGAAGTAATTTCTTTTAATGGTTTTTCTCCACATGCTTTTCACATTAAGTGCAATTGGTTTTTCGCGGCCTTTCAAAAGCTATCCACAGAACAATTTATGTAGAAGACAAAAACAAGAGACGTACGTTTCTAATGACGCGAACTAACCTTCAGTCACAAATCATCGTTGTCAGGCAAAAAGCACAACAACACGACAGCAAACAACAACAACAATAACAACAACAATCAAGCAAGCAGAAGATTTAATAAGGAAAAGGCCAGTAAGTAAACCTGTTGCAATGTTTTTGGCGCTCACTGTGCGCCCGCTTGACTAGTTTTTTAGTCGTATTTATTATTATTTATAATATCCCATGCATACCCACTCTATGACTCGCATAGCTCTCAACTCTTAACATGGCTATAACCATGGCTCTATCTATGCTTGTAGCTGTCGTTTTTTGTTGGCATTAGCAATGAATGGTTATTAAACCGTAACCACAACTGCGCCAACTTGGCCAACTGAGCTTAGGGGGCAAACAAAAAAATAGAAAAAAAATTGCCAATGCGAATGACTCCATAGCCGAGTGCCAACTGTGTCTGTCTCGGAGTGGTTTTCATTTGGCGAATGACATTTTGTTGGGTATATAGAAAAATATGTACACAATATGTGTAAGCTATAGATGTGAAGTGAAATGGTAAAGGTCTGTGGGTTAAATCTAACTTAAAACTAACAATCAGCTTGAAATTCCATTAATAGTTCAACCAAAATTTATGTTTACAGAAAACCTAATCTTAAAGCGTTTTAATTGGTTAAAGAACAATAACGAACCGGGCTTGATCCGAACCTGTTTCAAATATGTATTTATTATAAACCTAAACGAACATCAACCTCAAGCTAATTTTATCAAAGAATAGTTTGTTTTGAACCTTTTTTTATTTGGTAATTGAAAATAATGCAAAAATGTTTTCGCATTAAATGTAGATTATAAGAAGTAAAATTTTTCTATTCTATTTCTAAACTTGTAGAAAATGAATAATAGCAATGTTTTGAACCAAGTTCGCCGAACCAGCAAGCGATTCGCCTGTGTAAATAGTCTTCATTAATAATAATTACCAAAATTATAAAGATTATACAACAATTTCAATTATGCGGTAAGTTACCCTATTTGACAATAAATTCGTAATGCCAAGAAGCTGAAATTAAAAATTGATGTATGAAGTATAATAATAATAATATTGCTCAATGCTGATACTTATTGCAGAAAAACATTATATTGTGTGATAAAAAAGACTAATGAGAATAAAGCTCGCATTTGGAGTATCTATTTACGCGCTTTTGCGTATTTCTCTGCCTTAAATGTAGTCCAGGCTAAGCTGCTAAATCCAAAGTATACAATGTAAACGCTAAGCTCTTTGTTGTGCTGTGCCACACATCATGACGAATTCATTATACCCTTTTTCTATTGTGTGTTTGTGGGCGGGTTAGGAGGGGTAAGGGGTTGATGTGCAACACTTTAGAAGAAAACATTGACGTATTGACGCGCTTTTGGCCTTCGGGCGTTAAACTTTGCCGCTGTGCGCCACGGGCGTTTTTTTTATTTCTTACAACAATTGTGGCAAATGTTGCATCATCATTAACACACACACACACAATCACAAGCACAAAAACTCACTCTCAGGCTTTGTACTTGTTACTCGATTTGTTGCCGTTGTGTTGCATTCAATAGAAACGCATCAATGCAAAGTCATCCACAGCAGTTGCTGTGACGTCTGCTTCTTCTTCTGCTGCTCGCGCTGCGGCTCGCCTTTTGGCTTTGGCATTTCTCATTTACAAATGTTAATGGTTAATACACTGCAACGAGCCCTGTGTCGAACCGTCGAGCCATCGGGCCGTGCCTTAGAGCCAGGGTGCAGGCCATGAGTCAGCGTCAACCAAAAATGTCAGCAGCAAAAGTTACGTTCGCCTGCGATAGAGTAGGCAGTTGTCATTGTCGTTGTTGTTGGATGTTAGGATACCCTGTGTGCACAGTATAATAGGGTATTCCCTTTCTGTATGTTAAATGCAGTTACAAGTATGAAACATGCAGAAGCAGAAATTATAAAACGACCCCGGAGGTATTTAAGAATAAACTTTCCATAAGTGGGATTGAGGTATGGGATAAAAAGATGGCGATTTGTGACTTTTGCTATCGTAATTATCCTGATTTTTTTGGTACTGTAAAATTGAATACTGCTAACACAAAGGTTATTGAAAAATAATTTGTTCAAAGGGGGGATTAAGGTACGGGGAAAAAAGCGACGTGTGTTAGTTGCGAATGCAATTTGTAGCTGTTTACAGGGCATCTGCAGGACGAGCACTGCCGTCTGGGGTGCTCCTCGCTGTCATTGTTGTTGTAGCGGTTGATGCCTGCAATTTATCACATGTTGCGGCAACAGTCGCCGTAGCAGCAGCAATATAAAAATTTGTAAAATGCATTCAGGTGCCGCCAAATATTTAAGGCATGCCGCGCAGTTGCTGCCGCTTGTGTTGCCGCTGCTGCTGCTCATGTTGCTGATGTTGCTGATGTTGCTGTTGTTGCTGGTGCTGCCTTTACTTTCAGTAAGTCATTAACTCGCAGTTAGGTAACCGGCTGCGGCTGACGCTGAGGCAATCCCGGCACAGCCCTGCAGCTGCTCATGGGCTGCGAGTCGAGAGATGTTGTCTGCCACACAGTCAGCAAGTTGATTGAGCCGTAATTAGGCAGCAGACAATGAGCTGGTGCTCGCCTTTAAGATTGCGCGCATTGGTGGGGCTGGCAGCTTGATTAGTAGGCGTCCAGCTTGGCCAGCTATGTGGGTCGCGTCTTGTAAATGAACGCCCCGAAAATGTAACAGAAAGCAAAAAATAAATAAACAAAAAACGCACAAAACAACAAAAAAAAAAAGATTGCTAAAAACGAAAAAAAGCTGGCAAATCAGAACGCAACGTGCGCAGTCAATTGGCATGGAAATGGGCGGCTGAAAATTCTTGGCACGTTAAAAATTAACCAAAAAAAAAGTAAGAGAATGACAGGTACAATAACAACAACAACAACAACAACAACTGCGACTGCGACTGCGATTGTAACTGGGCACGGCCCAAAAGGTTGACCAAGAAACGACGTGAAGCGCGTCGTCCGTGTCGAGGCGCAGGTGAACAACCGTCTGATTGCCTTTTAAAGATTTTTTTACAGCTATTTATTTACTCAAGCCCCATAGTCCATGCTGCCTTTTTCTCTCACTCTCACCTCACACTCACTCCCCCACACTCTCCCTCGCTTTTTCTCTCTCTCTATTTCTCTCTCTGTCTTGCTCTTGGGCTTATTTGTTATGCGCTTGTTGCTGACACCTGCTTTGTTTTTCAAGCTGCTGCTGCTGACCGAGTACTCTTATTATATTTGACCATTTGTTTATAAACATAAAGCAAAAAGAGGGAAAATAAAAAAGGGAAAAAAGCAGAAAAACTTTCTGCTGCTCGAATGAAAGGCGCCCAGTGGAAATGGCTAAATTTTGCAAGCTGCAAATGAATCCTTTAAGGAGAGCTTTACTTGAAACCAGAGCTTTGTTTTTTTATATGCTATGTGCAATCAAATAAAGCTGTAACGGAGTAGGTTCTTTCTTTCTAAGTATTTCTAAGTATAAGCTTTACAGAGAAACATGGTGTTTATGTCTAGAGCTATGAAGGAAACATATTGAGTCGTGGACATATTATAAAGGTCTTAATCTCTTATGTTTTTTAACTAAGAATATGCTACTGAAATATTTTAAAGATATATAAACCTACCACCACCTACCTTCCATGCTTAGTTAACTTATATGCCTGCCATTAAATAACCCTAAACACAGACAACTTTATATATATATAATATATATATATAGACCCTTACAACAGTTACCTTCCATGCATAGTTAACTTATATGCCTGCTATTAAATAACCCTGACCACAGACAACTTTATTTTGTCAAACCTTTAGCTTAACTTTATTCAAAATTCTGCAACTTTTGTCTTAACTTATTTGACTTATGAACATTTCTGTTTCGTTATGCTGGCCACAAACAAAGCAGCGCTTGTTATTCAGGCTATAAACCTTAACTTAATGTTAAATATAACGCAGCACAAGCAGCTGTTTGGTAGGGTGAAGCAAAGGCAAAGTTGGTTTTGCGAAAAATAAAAAAAAATATAAAAAAAAACTTATAAGTTTTGCCCTGGCAATTTGCTGGCTTATGCAATGCCAATGTCTTCATCAATGAATGCTGCGTGTGATTTTTACAAATGTTTGCCATAGTCATCATCATCATCAACGTCATCATCGTCATTATTGTTGTTATAATCTTCTTCATGATTATTGGGTAGAGCATCCAAACAGCATTTGCCCATTTGTCCGGGCACTTTCACTAACTGCTTCGCTCTGCCCGCGGGCGCCCTCTCGAGACTTTGGCTTGATTATGACTTTTATTATTTTGTTTTTATTTTATTTCTTTGTTGCCTCTTGTATAATATCTTTTGAAAGAAACTTTATATGCATTGTGCTGACCACAAACATATTAAATGCCAGCTGATATCATCAATGCACAAAAACAATAAATGCTCATATACAAATACGTTTTTGCTACGCATCGCCTATGGTGATTACGGTGCTCGACATATACATATACATATATATTTATATCATTTCTATATAATGTGTACTTTTATTAATTTAAATAGTTAGTTATCTAGCTGCAAACGGAAATGCCCATTCATGTGAGTGTGTGTGTGTGTGCCCTTACAATAGAATTATTTAGTTCATTTTGCCCATCAGCTTTAAAGATTCGCTTTTTTCGAGCGTATAAAATGCAAACAAACAGGCACAACAATAAAATCTAAAAATAATAAAGTAAAAAGGTATAGAATATTTGTCATGTCACATCAGACAGGCCGTCAGCAGCAACAACAACAACAACAAAAACAACAACAATTTTTAATGTCAGTCACATTTATAGCGCTGAAAGAGCAAATATTTGTTAACAAAATATATAAATAATAATGCAAAAGCGGCAAGAAAAACAGCACAAATGCTAGCCATATGCAACGTACTTAAAAAGACTCAATCACATTTTTCAAATACCCTGTAATCCTTGTAAATTTCCAGTTTGCGTTAATTAACTAGAACTCATTGTAACAAAGCTCTTGATCTTCACTAATTGATTGACAACCTGATTGAATGACTGATTATTGATTGACTGTCTGACTGATTTTCAATTTAATTCAAAAGACTTTGTC